CTTCCTCTAGAATGGGGAGCTGCCCTCACTGTCCCCCCTGTGGAGAGTGAAGCTCTCAGGTGATGTTTTCCAGGAGCGTAAGACTTAGCGGTGGGGATTCCAGTCGGACCCAGATGCTCAGAACCTTTCCATTCTGTCTCCTGTTCTGTTTATTATTTATTCTTGGTTATTTCATTTACAGATATTTTAAGGGATTCAAGGGTAATTTCTACTCTCTTAAATGGAAGGAGTCAGAGACTTTCCATTCATTAGGAAACAGGATACTGGGGTCCCTGGGGCAATACCCATCTCATCGTCCCTTTCAATTGCACGTCCTTCATGCATCTTAGACTCCGTGCTGTTCCCAGACTCTCGCTCTCTGGCTCAGATGCAGAAAGCCTCTCAAGCAGCCACTGTCAAGTTCACAGGGACACGTTTGCAGCATCCTCCCTCCTGTGTGGGGTGGGGCGGTTGCTGAGATAACTGAAGTCGCATCCCGCACTCCCTTCCACTTCTGTTCCTTTAAGGCATTTGGATTCCTGAAGCCTTCCTTGGACCTCAGAAAAGAAGGCGTTTGTGAGCAGCAGGCACACTGCCACCCATGGTCAAGGGCACCCAGAAGGCTCTTTCCGACCAGCCTTCTTCCATCTCCTCCTTCCCTTCTGCCCCCAGGATTATTCTTTGTTTCTTTTATTTTTCAGCTTACTGTTTCCTCTCTTTCCCCTTCCCTCTGTTAATCACAAGTTTAATTTTCATATTCATCTCATTTACATAATTCGAAATCAAATCCTCATACATTAACATTCTACATTTCAATACGAGCCCAGGCCAGAATACACAGGAATCAGATACCTTCCCATTAACACATTTCACTTGTCTTTCTCGTTAAGGACCAGTGCCTCCTTCTTTAGAGGCAAGGCATTTCCACAGGATGCTCTGCAAAAATGAGGCTTGCTTACTTGGCTGAAGGAAAAATAAGGAAGGGATGACCCACCCAGGCAACAACGTGTAGAACACTGGCTAGGGGTGATACACCTCAGGGCTGGATAGGAAAGGTTTTTCAGGAACATGTGTGATGTCTTGTCTGTATAAAGGGGAGTTTAAAGTGAGGACACAGGTATTCCATGGTAATGTGGAAGGGAAGGTTTCTATTGTCGAGATGAAGGAGAGTCCAGTCAGAGGCGTCTGGGAGAGTCTAGAGCAGAGAGAGAATGGAGTGGACCAAAGGCAGCCAGCAGACTGGACTGGGTTCTAAGGAGGAGTGGGGGGAGTGAGAGAGGACGAGAAAAGAGTGTGGGCAAAGGAGACCGAGAGAGAGGGGGCCAAAAAAGCGCATGGCCGAAATGGCAGAGCTGTATCGGAATGAGGAGAGGCTGTGAGAAGGGAAGCCCAGGCGCTGGAGAAGTTTAGGGTAGGGGCCGGGCTGAGAGGAGCCACAGGGACTGAGTGAGCCTGGAGGAGCATGCACTTTGGTCTGCTTTTAGACACCACAGCTGGCCAGTTGTCCCGAGCGTCTTTTGGACCTGATAATGTCCAGCCTGAATTGACTGGACATTAAACCTAGGCTTCTTTTAATTCAATCTGATTTGGTTTGATTTGGATTATTGTGTTGGCGGAGCAGATTACTGGGTCAGAAAAACTTAACATTTAGAAGCCCAGGTTTAATGGATGCCAGCGCTCCTGGTTTGGGTGCCCCCGGGAAAACATGGAGAGGGAAAAGGGGAGACCACATGTTTGTTCTCTGGGGGGCAGTTTAAATAGCCTATGGGAGTGGTCTTGACCCACTGTGTTCAGGAGAGTCTGGGCCTGGTGAGGTTAAGGAGGCCTCCCCGCTGCGGGACTTCTCAGGGCCTTACAGGAAGGCCACGCGGCTTATCTCCATAGGCGCAGTACAGATGCAGCTTCTCTGTGAATCCAGTCTTCCCATCCCACCATCCTATGTTGGGACCATTTGGAGTCCTGGCCTCCAGCTGCTCTTCCCTGCTAGCGATCTTTACTTTCCTTCTGATTTGAGCTACTGAAAGCTGTGTCAAAGTTGTTTACCAGCTCTGCTTCACGAGCACGTGTTGCCTTGGCCTTGAGGATCGGAGGATGAGGTTTTCACCTGTTGGCCCACTTGACTTTTGGGTATATCAGCCTCTGTGGTGCTACTGAATAAGGGGTTTCTTACCAGTGACTAGAGGTCCGTGTTTCTGTCTCTCTGTCTGTGTGTCTTTGTGTGTTTCAACCTCCAGCCCCTTGCCTGAAGCTCGCAAACTGTATGGTAGCGCATAGAGCGCAGGAGTTGTACGCTGCAATCCTGCATCTACAGAATGTCTTATGAAGCAGCAATTTGGAGGCATTGTTATATATTGTTAGTTCTCTGGTTCAATGACGTCTCATTATTGGCACAAAAGGGGTTAAGGATGTGGCTTAGTTGGTAGAGAACCTGCCTGACACTCATGCAGCCATGGGCTCAATGCTTAGCAACACGACATAAACAGAGTGTGATGGCGCATGCCCGCATTCCCAGTACTCTGGGTGGGAACAAAGCAAATACAACCAGTGACCAATCAGGGCTTGATGGCAGAGGCCAGTGCTTGGAAGGCTGACACAGAAGACCAGCCTGAGCTACATAGTAAGATTGTATCTCATAAAAGAAAGCACATTGATAAGATAAAAAACCCATATCTCAGAACAAGGTGCATTTTCACATAAATAAAAGAGATCAGATGTCCGGGGAGTTTGGCTAGACTACAGTGGACAATGGGCGCACAGGTAGGGAAGTTCACTTTGACTTGTGACTACCTGGCTCCTTCATTCCATGCACAGATGAAAAAGAAGGGCCCTGGCAGGGCTGGAGATACGGGAAGAAGCAATGGCTGCTGGTTTGCCGACATAAGGTAAAGCTACTGGTACGTCCTGCAAATGCCACAGCAGGCCCCAAGTCCTGGAGTTTCCCATGTCACCCATGAGTGTGAAATGGTAAGTTGACTCCTAGAGAAAGTTGCTAGTGAAGTCCTCAGCCCTAAATAAGGCATGGGTATCACCCCTGCAAGGCCCATGGAACACTGTGGAGAGGGAGAGGCTGTCTGAGCTGAGAGCTGGGCAGGAGTGCTAGGAACTCCATTGTAATCATGACCACCCAGCTCAATGGCTCCTCATACAAGATCTGCACAAAAAGACATCAGAACAGAAGGGGGACTGATTGAGGAAAAAGGGGGTCACCAGGAATGAGAGGGGGACAAGAGAGAGTCATGGAGGTTGATAAAATTACAACAATAAAAAAAAAAACATACATGTGTGAAATTACACCAAGCTAGTTTGCTGGTGATCTTCTAAGCATCCTCCCATCCCTGCGTGGGATTACAGAAAGGTGCTACCGTGTCTGGCTTCATGTGGGTTCTAAGGATTTGAACTCAGGTCCTTACACTTGCATAGTAAGTACTTCCCTAACCGAGCCATCTTCCCAGACCCATGCATAAAATATAAAACAAAAATTAAGATACAAAAGAAACCCTTGATTAACAGAGATGGGCCAAAGTAAAGACAACATATGAGTGGAGTCCCAGGTTCCAGGACAATGCCACAGTTATGTCCTTGTCTTCAATGAAGGAAGGTTCTGGTACGGCTTCCACAGGACCAGCAACTGCCGCAGATCCAGGCTTTTCTCCTAATTGCTGCCGCTTCTTATGCGAAGAAGGCAAACTTTGTAATCGGGTGTACCTGCTGTGGAAGGGCACGTGTAAAGTCACAGGACAAAGAAGGCTGTTTTACTTGTAGATTTCAAATTATCTCTTTCTGTATGAAATCATACATCGAACTGATTCAGAATGCCAAGCTCGTGAGTTGTCAGGGTTAAACACAAGGCTTCAAGAAAGTCTGTCTTAGAGGAGGGCTGATGTGTGGGCAGGCGTGGGAGGGGAGATGGGGGACGAACCGACTTAGACCTCCTGCCTCATTGCTCTGTTCTCATAGGGGCTCCACCAGCACCTCAACACCCAGGCCCAGTGTTGCCATGGTAACGCTGCTGCACTGGGTTTTCTGCAGGCCCCCTTCCTCCTCTGTTGGATGGGCTCTTTCGGCCTCTCTTGATATGCTCCAGCGTCAGTGCCTTCCCATTGTGATCTGGCTTGCACATTCCAGCTTATTCTTGTCTTTAAACACCTATACTGACGGGCTGACAAAACCGCTCATCCCTCCTGGGAATACCAAACCCAAACCAACCCCCTCAAAAAAAAAAAAAAAATCCCAAAGTTGCTCAGGGCCACCCGCATCGCAGGCTGGAATAGGATTGGCGTGGGCAGGTAGCTGACTACGACACCAGGGACCATTGAGGAATACAGTGCAGGCTGCCATCTCTACAGATGCTTGCCAGCCAGAAAGAAGTGGTCAACTCATACACCAAAGCATGATTATTGCACAAGGTGGTGCAGGATTAGAGGAGACGATTGAGATGAACACTGAATTTACTCAAACAGAAATGTGAAGGTATGCTCCCTAGAGCTGGGCTGGGTCAGCAGGTCTTATCTGGTGTCCAGGGACCTCCCACCATCAGCTCCATTCTGTGTGGGCCTTCCATACCCAAGGTTGCTTCGTGACCCAGATTGGCTGCTGGGCTTCCAGCAGTCCTATCTACCCAGATTGGCTGCTGGGCTACCCCAGCAGCCCTATCTGCATTCAAAAGAGAAGGCACGGGGAAGGCGGCTAGCTCTCCTCATCAGCCTGCTCCTCTTTAAGACCCCGCCCCCAACTCCCTCCGCGGCACCGCACACTTTATCTCACCGTAGCTTCGTTTCCTGAAGCGCCTGGTTCCAAAGGGGGCCTAGCAACCTCTTCAGCCGGGTGCCTTACCGCTGTGACGGCATCTGGGGCACTGAGCATTCCACAGTAGTAGTCCTAGTTCTGCGGCAGGCGCGAAGGGACGTGTGGTGCTGTGGCCCGGATGCCTGCGACTGCTCTAAAATCCAGAAGGGCGCTGAGATAATGGGGGTTGGGCAAGGGGATCATGCCCTTGTGAAAGACTTCACAGAGCTCCTTCTCCGCTACCGAACTTTCCCGGATCTGACCCCGTGAGGCAGATCCAGCGGGCTCTCCAGAAGCCTGCTCCTTTCCAGTGTCCACCAATCCTCGTTGCCTCAGTCCATGGGGAGGCCTCTGCCTGGACACAGACCCAGCCCAGTCTCTGGGTAGTCCTATCTAGTACTTAACACCCCTCGATGGGTCTTCCCAAGATAGACGACAGTGTGGACAAGGTCTGCACGCTCCTCTGGGCTGATGTGGCTGACAACTGGGTGCACTTTAACTTCATGCACTACCACAGGGGCTATCGTGTACCCCCTTCTATAGTGGGGTTCCAAGGTGCCTTGTGGCAGTCCAGGCTGAGGTAAGTTTGAGGGCCCAAAGAAGCCAGCTGAGAACACACTTTGAGGCTGAAAGTCATTGCGCATAAAGGAGGGGTTAGTGTTAATTAGGGCCTCCCTGTAGGCATAAGCAGGACCTAGTCACTCACTCAAAAGCTGACATGGGGTAAGGGTGAGGGGTAGGAGGGTAATCTTGCAGCCAGCATCTCTATGGTGGCAGTCACATAGCAGGTCAGTCATGTGACTAGCTTTCCTCTATGTCCAATGCTTGGGACCAGATGTGTTTCAGATTTCAATTTTTTAAATTATTATTTCAGAATGTTTTTGTGTCTGTAAAGAAATATCTTGGGAATGGACCTCAAGTCTCAGCATGAGACTCATCTGTGTTTTACACACGTTTCATCCCATAGCCTGTCGAGGAATTTAACACAATATTTTATTTGACTAGTCATTGGCTGTGCCTCACCTAAGGTCAGGTGTGGAATTTTACACTTGTATTTTTGTATCCGTATCAAAATGTTTTGGGCTCTGGAGCAAATTGGATTTAAAATTTTTGCATTAGGGGCGTTGAATCATAGAGAGTAGTCCTGGAAGGGGAAGGAGAGTCACTGATGCTGATGCTGATGTAGCGTGGGGAGACAATGGCTGGGCTGCGGGAAGGGGAGGGGGTAGAGTGACAGATGCTGCAGAGAGGCCAGGAAGAGGAAGGAAGTCTGAGGGAGCCTAGTGGTGCAGGTGTGGGCATGGGGTGAAGCAGCTCATGTGAGCTAGGAGCAGGCCTGACTGGATGGAGGGAACGCACAGGAAGGAGCCAAAGTGAAGGACAGAGAGCCTGTTGCATTGGCTACATAGCTCCTGATTCTCCTGGCTTTGCCTCAAGTGCTGAGGTGACAGACTTGCGCCACTGCGCCTGCCTGCAAGCCCTCTTGTGATTGGCTGGCTCAGTAAAAACATGAGAACCCTGATCATGACACCTGATATTCTTATTTCTCTTAGGGGGAAAAAGAGCAAAGCAGCATTTCTTCTCCTGGTCCACACGGGCATCTCTCCAGAGACTCACACGTCCTCAGTGGCTCTGAGCAGAGGTCATACCCAGTGTCCCTGAGTGTGCCCCACAGGGTAGACAAGCTTGAACTACCAGCAGGTTGGCGGGTCACTCCCGTTATTTTAGGACTTTAGAATCCAGGGCCTCACAGAATATCATTTAAATATTTCCTATATCCCTATGTGGGGCAGAGTTCTGTGGACAATGAGAGGGGAAGCTGGGTAAATGCGTGTCATTAAAATGGAGCAGACACCCTGGAGGTAGATATGAGCAATTCCTGAGCAAGGACACAGAGGCTCCCAATTTAAATTCCTACCCCAGAGCTTATGTCGCTCCATCCTCTTGAGAGTAAATTACTTTTATAACGAAGGATTAGCCCAGAGGTCTCATCAGCGCACGAGGTCTCGCCTACTGGTGTTTAAACCGAGATGTGCAAGGCACAGGAAATTGGGTTTTGACGTCTAGGAATGGTCTCTCTCATGCTCACAGACCAAACTGCAAGGCAAACTCAGTTTGGAGGTGTTTGCAGTGCTGTTGCATTTGGAGGTCACCTTTTCAGAAACGCTGATTCAGGGTGAATGTTTTCAATACTGGAAAGCCGTCATCTCTCCGGTACTTCGTGTCACCATGAACTTCAAGTCCAAACTCCTGGCACAGAGGCCCCTTCTCCCCTGGCCTCTGACCCATGCGGTACCTTCCTCAGATGGCCCATCTGCCTGTTAGGGCTCAAGTTTGCTTCCGATCTGTTTCTCTTGTGTATCCCAGCTTTTTTTTTTTTTTTAAATTTATAATCTTTGTCATAAAGCCTTGTAAGTAATTAAAATATCACAGACCCAAAGTCTATGCAACTTGCAACTCTTTTATTTCCTATCCTGTGCAGTGAGAGCAGGCATTCGCAACGGAAGCTGCGGGGTTTCACAGTGTTGGATAAGAATGGACCTGGTCCTCCTTGGCCGGAGGGAGTGTGTCTCGTGTCCACGGCAGCAAGCTTCCATCCCTCCCAGCCTGCTTGTGACATTGCCGCCCTGTTGGTTTCCACTTTACAACCTCACTGTCTGCTTTGTTTACTTTTTCCTGCTCCCAGGAGCTTGTTTCTGTTCTGTCCCTGGCCATTACTTTTCACACTGGCCTCATGAACTGGCCTTGGCCTTTTCAGGTGCTTTACTTGGTGTGAACCTTCTAGTGGCTGTGTTCTGGTCTCCCCTGATAGAGCTTCAAACTCTGCCTCAGTCCCACGGAGCTCCAAATAATAAAATCAAATTATAATCAATTTCTGAAGGTGCATGTTTACATAAATGCGCTGGTGTGCATACATGTGTGTACTCATAAGTGTGGAGTTCAGAGGTCAACTTTGGGCATCATTCCTTGGTTACCATCTATCATGTTTTTTGGGCCAGTATCATTCACTGTCCAGCAAACCCCAGGAACCCACTTGTCCCCACTTCCCCAGTGCTGGGACTACCAGTGTGTACACCACACCCAACTTTCATAAGGGATGGAACTCAGGTCTTTCTCCTCGTGCTTGTGTGGCAAGCATTTCATTGCCTGAGCTATCTCCTCAGTTCCAAACCTATCAAAGAATTAATTGACTTTGTCAAAGTCCTTATGATTATAGTATCATAAGAGCCAAATAGTTATCACCTCAGAACTCTGTACCCAGGAGCCTTTTGACCCCAAAAGGGGTCATTGCACATCCAGTCCATAGCTCTACTCAGGAAAGTAGGCTGCTTCTCTCACTTGTCACCATAAAGAATACTCTGCAAGAAGATGCTTTGTGGGGAGCTTCCGTTAGCGGTTCTGGAGTGAAGATTTGTGTCTAGGGGAGTCTCACAGTTGTGGAACTCAGGAACTCGAGAGGCAGAGAAAGCTCTCCTCCAGTATCCTTGAAAGAAGCAAAGCAATCGTCCTTCACCCCTGGGCCCAGTTCCGCTCCTGCATTCAGTATTTCTCCCTTCAACTCAACCTGACAGCCACTGTCAGCTGGTTGGCTGGTGTGGCTTTGCTGAGTATTTCTGGGATGAATGATCATATATATGTGTGTGTACACATATATATAAATTCATATATATATACACATATACATATGTGCATGTATGAATATGAACATATATGTATATACATATGTACATGTAAATATGCATACATTTTTAAAAATGAAAAACCAGAAGAATTGGGCTGAAGTCAGGATGCTGGCAGGAGAAGCCAGTATTTGCTGTTCTCTGCCATTGTCTCTTGTCTGCTAGAGCTGTGCTTAGCTGTGAGAACATTGCCTCACAGGGTCTCCACATCTGATGTGCACAGAAACACTGAGTGCAGAAGTACACCCCATTTAGGTGGCTGTGTACAGTGACATTGGTCCTGGACAGTGTACCCACACCCACTCCTTATAAGATATATGTTTGGAACAAAAGGAGCTGAGGACAAGGTTAAATTGTGTGCTGAATTCCAGGGCTCCTCTTTTAGTCATTCTAGAACCTTCTACCTGAGCTTCTAGAGAACTTCATAAGGTAAAACTTTGCCTATTTACCTTAGGGAAACAAAATTCTGGTTCTTTGCCCAAGCAGCTGTGCCTTCTGCCCCCTTCAGGACACCTTGCTGCTGAGATCAATGACAGCCCCAGTTCAGCCAGACCAGTCACTTCCTGCCCAAATCTTAGCAGTGTCTGGATAAATAAACAGCACTCATGCAAAACTCAACTACCAAAGTAATCAGCCTGCCCACAGACATGCTGCTGGGATACCTATATTGTTTTTGTCCCATGGGGTTACCTAAGACCATTGGAAAACACAGATATTTACATTACAGTTCATAACAGCAGCAAAATTACAGTTATGAAGTAGCAACAAAATAATCTTATAGTTGGGGTCACCACAACGTGAGGAACCGTATTAAATGTTTGTAGATACTGTCCTGGGGACCAGAGTCACTGTCTACAGTGCCCTGAACTAGATACACATCTCACTTCGTGTGTTCTGTACATGTCAGACATGGAGACGCTGTGGGGCAACATCCTCTAACATGGGAGAACATTTTGGGGACCCCTGGTGCTCTCTGTATAGCATGATCCCTGAGAGTTTGCCTCAGTCCTGTGTTTCTTGAATCTCTCTGAGGTTCCTTCCTTGTGATCTGGGAACACATGGAAATTCTTCATTGAAAATGCTGTGTTTTATTCAGATGTCTACTCTTGAAGGAGGAGTCCTGTCTGCACTTCTGTGGTGCTTGCCTTCCTCATCTGAAGCATGTCTTTGTGCGTACACATTTATATGAATATGTATATATGTGTATGTTCATGTGTGTGTGTTCGTGTGTGTGTATGTATACATGTGTAAAAGTCAGAGGTCAGCCTGGGGTGTCATTCCTCAGGAGCTGTTCGAGCCTTATTTCTTGAGACAGGGTCTTTCATTGGGGCCTGGGCTAGATTGGCTGGCCAGCAAGCCCCCGGGATTCCTGTCTCTGATCTCTTGGTGTTACCATTACAAACACACACCACCATTCTGGGCTTTTACCTGGTGCTAGAGACTGAGCTCTAGTCAGCATGCTTACGCGGCAAGGGCTTTACCGACTAGGCCGTTCCTCAGCCCGGAGCGTGTTTTACCCATATAACACACAGCACTTCTCCTAGCATGGCTGGAAAAAACATCACAGAAGGGGCCACAGTAGGAGCTGCAGACCTTGTCAGCTCATGCCCATCTGAGAGTACCCAGAGAACAAGGCCCCCAGTTCCAGTGGGGTTGGAGATGCACAGGGAGAGGAGGGCCCAGGTAAGCAGCCTGGGAAGACAGGCGGCCTATTGGGGAATGTTGTTTATCTAACTAGGCAAAGATCTGGTACATCGGTCATGTTGCAGAGTGATAATTTAACTGTGTAAAGCAGTTACTGTGTTACTTTTGTTTACACTGCATTTGTTTAAGGATGTACAGGTGTGTTGCATTTTAGTTCACCTTGCCTGCCTAAGGCATCTGATAGGTCGATTAAAGAACTGAATGGCCAATAGCTTGGTAGGAGAAAGGATAGGTGGGAATGGTGGGCAGAGAGAATAAATAGGAGAAGGAATATAAAGAAGAGAGAGAAGAACAGAGAAGGAGGAAAGAATGAGGGATACGCTTGGGGCAAGAGACCAGGCAGGTGCCAGCCATCATCCCATAGGGAAGCAGTGAAAGTAAGATACACAGAAGAAAAGTAATAAGTCCCGAGGCAAAAGGTAGATCAAGAGAAACAGGTTAATTTATGGTAAAAGAGCTAGTCAGAAACATGCCTAAGTTAGGACAAGCATTCAAAACTTATAATAAGTCTCTGTGATGACTTGGGAACTGGCTGGTGGCCTGGTCCAGCAGCCTGGTCCCATGGGCTGGAGAACAGTCCATCTGTGACGGGGAGACTGAGGCTGCAGAAGCTCTGGTTTCTGTGCTTCCAGCTCGGCTGATGCTGCAGACACCTTGCAGTGAGTGGGAGTTGGGACTCCCAGGGTGGGACCAGCAGGGGAGAGAGCTAAGACAGAAGAGCTGAGGGACCCCCCTGCCCCAGTCTGAGTTTCTGACAGAGCAAATGCTTAACTAATGTTGGTAGATGTGAATGTGAGCCTGGGAAGGCCTAGGGACCAGGGCAGCCACGCCTGCCATTGTCCTCAGGGAAAAGTGTGAGAAGAAACAGCCTGCCAGAGCTCAAGAGTGTCCCTTTGTCAGTGGTGGTGGATGAAGACGTGGCACCACAATGCTGCTTCTAGCTGCTGAGGGGTTCTCTTCAGAGACCTCCACTCAAGTCAAGTTGCATCCCCAGGAAGCCTCAGAAGAGAATTTTGGGGTGATTCAGCATGACTTGATGCTTATTAAAAGGCACTTTTAACATAGATTAAACATGGGTGTGAATGGGGATGAGGCACACAAGAGTGTGACAGGTGTAAATGGGATAGAGGCACACAAGGGTGTGATAAGTGTGAATGGGGATAGAGGCACACAAGGGTGTGATGGGTGTGAATGGGATGAAGGCACACAAAGGAAGAATAAGATACCCTTTGGCAGAGTTCTGTCTTGTTGTCTTCATGTCAGCAACATGTGTTACCTCTGGAGGCAACATTATGGCACCCTCAAACTCAGACACTGTGGCTTCTCACAGCCTCTGTCTGGAGGGGACTATGGGACCAGGCCTGCTTGGGAAGGGTGTAGAGGCTGGGCTGGGGGCTGTAGGAAGGACCTAAGGGGGGAGGGGAGGGTGGTTTGTGGACCTTTTCTGGGGCCCTGTACCTTTTCATGCTGATGACAGCTGGCTCATATCCAGCTACACATCCACAGGAGGACAATACAAAAAAACTACCCAACCTTCATGCACCTCAAGTTGGTGTCTCATCCGACCACCTTCCCTGCCTGCAACTGACTAGCGATCTCTTCCAAACTGTGTGTATGTGTGTGTCCATCCATGCCTGTGAAGGCCAGAAGTGTTCCTCTTTAGGAAATGTCCATTGTTGGGAATATTATCTTAAGGTGTGTTACTTTTGTTTCTGTTGCATTTGTTTAACTCTGCGAAGCTGTGTTACTGGTTACTGTGCTTGTCTACAACACCTGATGGCTAATAAAGAGCTGATTGGCCAATAGCGAGGCAGGAGAGAGGATTAGGCAGGGCTGGGAAGCCAAGAGGATAAATATGAGGAGAAATCTGGGCAAAAGGGATTTGAGGACCTGGGAATGAGAGGGGAAGGAGGACTCCAGGGGCAGCCACCCAGCTACATAGCCAGACACGGCGTAAGAAGGAAAGACAAGGTATACAGGAATAGAGAAAGATAAAAGCCCAGAGACCAAAGATAGATGGGAAAATCTAAGAAAAGCTGGCCAGAAACAAGCCAAGCTTGTTATGAGGCTGTGCACTCATAACTAAGAAAAAGCCTCCGTGTGTGATGTATTTGGGAGCTGGGTGGTGGGCCTGCAACAAAGTCCAAAAAGCCAAAGAGTGAAAGAGCAAAAACATCACACTGCAGTCCATCTTGTTTCCTGGGATGAGGGTCTCTTCCTAGGACCTGGGGGTCTTCAGCTGTTAGGCTGTTTGACTAGCGAGCCCTGAAGATCCTTCTGTCTCTGCCTTCCCGCCACTGGGATCACAGATTCCTGCCACTGTGCCCAGATCTTGTATGTACTGGGGATTGAACTCAGGGCCTCATGGTTGCATGGCAACCGCTTCACCAAACTGAGCTGTCCCTAGACCCCAACACTGTTTTTGAATGGAGATGACTCATTTGCTTCTAGAAAACACCAACCTGAAGGTCTATCACTAACTCAAGAC